CTGGATTTATAATTTTGAGCAGTGCAGAAATAGCAACTTTTATTGCAGTTTGTGCAAGAATACCTAAAACCAAACCTTTAGCACTGAAATGAGGACACTACACAGGGAGAAGAGATTAATCAGAAGTGGATGGTGAACGTTAGAACTGTGGAAAGAAACAATGCCAGTGTCACTTGTTGTCTCCAAGTTGAAGCTGAGTGAGTGGCACCTCATTCTTGCTCAGCTGATTTGCCAGGAGCAGCAGGTTTGAACAGCTCTGGTGTTGGTGTGAGGGAGTTGGTGGCATCTGAGCACCTCTGTAGGGCTTGGAAGAGCTGGGAAGAAACTGCTGTGTTGGACTTTGTTGCAGAAGCTCTTAGAACACCAAATGAAAAGCAGTGGCTGGTGGTGGCCTGTCCTGAGCGTGTGCTGGTCGCAGCCCTGCGGTGGCCGCGGGGCCTTCCCGGGGTGGTGCTGAGGACAGCTCTGTGCTCTGCTCTGTCCCAGATGCAGACCTGGGCCGGTGTCTGGCAGCAGATGGGCTCTACCTCTACACCACTAATTCTGTGGGCAGAGGAATCAGCAAGTTGGGGTCTGGCCTGCACGGGACTTTGAGGTAAGTGACAGGGGAATATTTGCTGTTCTGCACAAATGTGCAAAAATGACAGGGGAATATTTGCTGTTCTGCACTAATGTGCAAAAACCCCAACCCTGGCAGAGTTCACAGCCAGGTTGGATGAGCCTTGAGCAACCTGCTCTGGTGGGAGGTGTCCCTGCCCAGGGCAGGGGTTGGGGCTGGGTGATCCCTAAGCTCCATTCCAACCCCTAAAACTCTGTGATCTGTGATAAGTTAGTGTTTTGCTAACCCTCTCGTGTTTGGGTCTAGCAAGACTAGAGCCTATGGGGATTGGGACTAGATGATCTCTGAGATCCTTTCCAACCCAAACCATTCTGTGATTCATGATATTGTGCATGTTAATCAAATGCTATTTTTTGTGTTGCTTTTCTCATCTCCAATACTTCCTGAGGATGTTTTCTCTGGAATTCCAGAGCAGCTGAGGTTCAGTGGGACCTCTGGAGATCCAACCTCCTGCAAAGAGGATTAGTACCCATCATATTTAGATTTAATTTTTACTTTTAGTGAGTTGGTTTATTCTTTGAGAAGGACAACTCCAGGCTGGGTTTGTGACTTTATATATATTGTAGCTGTACAATTGCTGTGTTTGTAAGTCTTTGTTTTCCAATTATGCCATTCATTACAGCAGTGATTAGTGCAGATGTGACTCACTTTACATTCTCATCCCTTCAGTACTTGGCAATCACAAGGCTTGTTATGCTCTTAAGTCTTTCACAACCCAAACTGCTGACTTGACTCTTAGTTGAGTCAAAGTTCAAGGCTGTGGCTGGGAGTTCTTCCTGCAGACCCCAAAAGCAGGGCAGGGTTGGGAGGAGTGTTGATGTGCTGCTTGGTCTCTTTGCCAGGGGCTTCGTGTACTGCCGGAACGAGGAGCTGGAGGCAGGTTGGGTTGCCTTTGGCAATGGCAAACTCCTGCATCGGCCTGTGTCTTTTGACAACAAGCCTCACTACCTTTTCCAGGTCGTGGATCAGCATACCCTTCAGGTAACAGCAGCACGTGGGGTGGAGGTACAGTACAGCAGGAAAACATTGCCATGGAGCACAGTCGTTTTTAGCCTTAATTGCTTTTAGCCTTGAAGTTCTTTCTTTTTACTTTGTGAAACTGCCTGTTGCTAACACTCCTTGGGATCACTGTGTGATGGAGCCTGGAAATTGTAGATGTCACTCAGTTTCAGAGTGTGTGTTTAGATATAGCATATCTGTATATTCTGGATCCAGGGTATAGAGATACAGGCTTGTTCAGCCTGGAGGAGACTGAGGGGAGACTCAGCCCCATCTGCAGTAGCTTCCTCCCAAGAGGCAGCACCAATCTCTGCTCTCTGGGACCAGTGACAGGACCCAGGGAACAGCTGGAGCTGTGTCAGGGGAGGGTTAGGTGGATATCAGGAGGTTCTTCCCCCAGAGGGGTTTGGGCTCTGAACAGCTCCCGGGGCAGTGTCCCAGCCCCAAGGCTGACAGAGCTCAGGGAGTGTTTGGGCAGTGCCCTCAGGCACAAGGTGCATTGTTGGGGTGTCTGTGCAGGGCAGGAATTGCACTAATGATCCTTGTGGGTCCCTCCCAACTCAGATATTCCATCCTTCTGGTGTGGTCACATTGTAAACCAATCAAACAATGTCAATATGGACTTTGACTTCAACTGAGAGCCTGATCTTTCAGAACAGCCTTGTTCTGTAGGATTGATCTTCCACCAAAATTCAGGTGTTGTTTCAGATCTGATTGTATTTCATAGCTAATCAAGTGTCACCCTTTGTAAAACTTCCCAGTTTGTTTACTTTGGGTTTTCCCTGCTGTGGTTTTAAGGATGGTTATACACATTCATGTCCAGTCTGTTTCCTGAAACTGAGCACTTTGGATTCCCCTTTTCTTCCCTGGGGGAAGTCATATTCCAGAGAAGCTGAAGGAGTAGATAACTCTCAGGGTGTCTATTTTCCTGATGGTACTGTGGTTGTGGTCTCGGTCACTGGAGAGGAGCAGATCTTTTTCTGTTTAGATGTGTTAAATTTGAGATAGGTGATGGTTTAAATACATTGGCAAATGTCCTGTAACAGCTCTTTGTGAGAAAGAAGTGTCATAGTACAAGTAAGTCCCTTAACAAACTTCTCCTGCACTAACTGCACTGGATCTCTGGTTATCTGCAGTACTGTTGATACTTGTAAGGCCAAACTTTCAACCAGGATATTTTGTGTCTCCCAGGTATGTCAGATTATCCCAATGCCAGTAAACCACTTCCCAGTCGGCAGCACTATGACCACGGTGCATCTCTCTTCAGATGGCACATACTTCTACTGGATCTGGTCTCCTGCAAGCCTCAATGAGAAAACCCCCAAAGGCCACTCTGTCTTCATGGACATCTTTGAAATCATAGTAAGCAAACCATGTGGGTGTTGTGTCTCTGGGCTGGGAGGGAAACACCAGCACTGCCAAATGGACCTGTTGGTTTGGGTATTCGTGTGTGTGATCTGAATGGATATGTAGGAGATCTCTGCACAGGGGGTGGGTTGGCCAATTCCCTCTCCAGAGCACATGTGACTGTTATATTTAGCAGTGTGAACTCTCTGGTAACGTATTTTTTACGTCTGTACTCCTCAGCAGAGGAGGAAGGAGTGGGATGATGCAGCTGGAGCTGGGAGGCTGTAGTAGCACAACTTGTGGAAAATCCCTGCTGCTGCAAATCAGCTCCTCATGAAGGGATGCACTGCAGTTAGACATCCCCTCAGAGCTGTGGTCTGAGCAAATCACTTTCTGCCTGGCAAATGGTGTGAAAGCCTCTTTTTATACAACTTGCCCCTGAAACATCACTAGCAAAATACAAGAGGATTATAAATTTCAATTCTAATATGGGTTCAATGATATGTTTGAAGTAAAATTCCAGGAAGGAATTAGAGATTGACATGCAGTTCTGTCTTTAAGGACAGGCATCAATGGAAGGTACAAGATGTTAATGTCTTTATTATCCTATATAATTACTCTATTGAACCACAGAGTCACCACCAAAAAATTACACATCTTGCTTTTATAACACTTCTTTTTTGGCCAGAAATTCTGTCATCAGAGTTTCAGTTTCTATCCCTACCTGATCTCTCGTATTGTTTTCTTCTGTTGAGCTAAGCTGTTCTCTCACCTGTGGATTTCAACAGCTAAAGTACTTTTTTTTCTCCATTTGAATAGGTAGAAAATGGCATATGCATAGCAAATCCTCTGCAGGAAAGGATTATACTGATGAGGAAAGAGGGGGAGTCTGCCAAGAGCATCAATGAGATGCTGCTGAGCAGGCTGTCAAGGTACAGAGCCTCCCCATCAGCAACACTGGCTGCTCTCACAGGCTCCACCATCTCCAACACGCTGAAGGAGGACCAGGCAGGTCAGAAGGGTTTGGTTTCTCCTGGTTTTGTCTCTCAACATATACACTTTCAATTTTAGCCATCACTGACCTCTCAGGACAGGCTCAAACCCGAAGTGTGCATTGCTTCCCCCAAGGAAGTGTTTGGGAGATACATGCAGTGCTTGCTTAGTGCCTAAGTGAGCAGTTAATTAGCAGTTCCTCTGCTAAATGAGGAGCTGATTTCGAGGGAAGTTTAAGAATGAAGAATGGGAAGAATGCTTGAACCTATGACTTTTCTTCCTCCATAAGCACATGAGTTTTCTTTCTTCAGTTTAAACAAAAGTATTCCCATTAAAATGATTTACACCTGAACTAGCTCTGCTTCCAGGGAAATTGGCAAAGAGTTGCTTGAAGAGCTATTTTAAAGGCTGTTTTGCCCTTTAGCAACTGAAGTGCTGCAGAAGAAGGAGAGGAAGTGGCTATTCTTGGCTCATTCTTTAGTCAGAGCTCAGAAGTGTTGATCAGCTGTTGCAGGAGGAGATCACTGTGGCTGTGTGTGTTTCGTGGGGAGCAGGAGAACCTGAGATAGGAAATGCAGAGTGAGTCTTCAGTCATCTGCATGTGCAGAGCTGAGCTGGCTCTGAGGCTTTCAGCATGGTGAGCACCATGCAGTGACCAACAGCTTTGGTCATAGCTAATGGTTTTATTTTCTTTTGAAGTTGTTTTCTTTAGTTAAATAACCTGTTTGTATCCATTTCTGGGCCTTGGTGCTGAGTGTGTGGGATTGTGAGGCCACCACTGCATAGGACAGCTGTGCCTGCCCCATCCCTGGGAGTGTTCCAGGCCAGGCTGGATGGGCTTGGAGCCACCTGGGCTAGTGGGAGGTGTCCCTGCCCATGGCAGGGGTAGAATTAGATGATCCTCAGTTGAGGAGGGACATTGAGGTGCTGGAGCAGGTCCAGAGAAGAGCAACGAGGCTGGGGAAGGGACTGGAGCACAAGTGCCGTGAGGAGAGGCTGAGGGAGCTGGGGGTGTTCAGCCTGGAGAAGAGGAGGCTCAGGGGAGACCTTCTCACCCTCTGCAACTCCCTGACAGGAGGTTGGAGTCAGGTGGGGGTTGGTCTCTTCTCCCAGGCAACCAGCAGCAGGACAAGAGGGCACAGACTCAAGCTCTGCCAGGGGAGGGTTAGGTTGGATATTAGGAAGAGATTTTTTAGGGAGAGAGTGCTCAGGCATTGGAATGTGCTGCCCAGGGAGGTGGTGGATTCACCATCCCTGGAGGTTTTCAAGGTGAGACTGGATGTGGCACTTAGTGCCATGGTCTGGTAACCATGGTAGGGTTGGACTTGATGATCTTGCAGATTTTTCCCAACCTGCTTGATTCTGTGCTCTTTAAGGTCCTTCCAACCCAAACCATCCCATGACTCTATACAAACTTCTTAAATCAGCATCTAAATGCTGCAAAGCGAAGCTGAGCTGAATTTCCATATTGATTCCTTTGAGGCCCTAAATAGAAACCTGCCTTGTCCTGAAGCAATACGAGTTTGTGTTACACTTGCAGCTGCCAACACCAGCTGTGGGCTGCCCCTGAAGATGCTGAGGAAGACTCCAATTTACACGTGTGGGACGTACCTGGTGATGCTGGTGCCGCCGCCGGGCGGCTCGGGCAGCTCGGCCACGCGCTCGCTCTTCGGGGGCACCAGTGCCCTGTCATCCCTGAAAAGTGAGTCAGACACCTCTGTGGCACTCGGGGGGTCCTTGGGTCTCTGAAGTGCAGGAAGCTTGCCAGACACTGACTGGAGCTGTGTTTCTGTGCAGTCCTTGCCTCCAGCTTGGTGTTCAACATCTCGGATGGGCAGTTCACCAGCCGAGCGGATCTCATCGACGCTGCAGGGAGCTCCCTGGGACGTGGGGCTCTAGTTCCAGGGCTGGGTAAGGACTGCAGCTCTTTGCTGGGCATAGCTCACACACTCAGGTTCTAAACAGCCTGTCTGGAGTTGGATTTGCAGTAAGCACTCTGCGGTGGGGGAGGTTCCGTGTCCGCGGTGAAGTGTTGTGCGTTGAACACTTTTTCAAGCTCTCAATTCCCTGAAGGAATTTCCAGTCTCTTTTGCACTTCTGGCTGCACACAAGCTCAGAAGTCTGTTCTGTAGCAGAAAAGAACCTTGAGAGAAGTTTTCTGCTATACCCCACTGATGCTGGAGGTTCTGCAAAATTTTGAGCATCTCTCTCTGTTTGAAAACACATCAGTGCAGCTGAGCTGGAAAGACATTGCAGGAATTTGTTTCCTCATTTTTGTGGAACTGAAATTTCACGACAGTTTTCTTCAGGACTTGGTTGGTTGGGGTTATTTTATCCTACCTGCTTGGTAGGATAAGATAATCCCTTAAACACTCTGTACTCCTTAAGCACTGCAGATCACTGCTAGCATTTTACTAAGCAGAGTTCTTTGTTGCCTGAAGGAGAATTTATGTCTTAAACACTTGAGGAAAATAGTTGGAGATAATACTCTGGGCTGTGTGTGGGAGGTGTAACTGTGTGTTAACCTGTTTTAACCATTTGAAACACACAGAGCAGGTGATTTTGGAGCTCTTCTGTCTGTCCCAGAGCACTTATGTCCCTAATCCCCTCAGCCCTTTGCTGTCTGGTCCTGCTTGTGTCTTACTAAAACCACTGGTTTTACCACAGGACCTTTAAAACAAGTTCTCTAAGGTGCTTAATTGTCCATAGCTGTAGGAAAATAAGTTGGAAACGACTTTTCCAGAAGTTCCCAGTATCTGCTACTGGAGTAGACTGGTTTTAGCTTATGCATAGCAGTGTGGGATCAGCCTGGGGAGGAATGATATGTGTTCTATGCTAAAACTGATAAATAAGGAGCACTGGTGGCTTTGCTTGAAACAGATGCTGTTGTACATTTTCTTGGGACATCAAAGGGCTGTGCATTCCCTTCATTCCTCTGTTAAAATATCTCCTTTCAATGTGATTCATTCCAGTGCATTATCACCAAATGGCTGTTAGGGAACTTTTAAAGCAGATCATTTGGGTTTCTGTCTGCTGTGAAAAGACTTTGGTGTGGTTTTCTAATACACTTTTCCTTTCCTTAGGTGCCTGTTACGATACAATGAATAACATGATCTGGACGTGCTCCAATGATTACATTGATCAGTGGTGCAATCCTGGGAATCAGGCATTCCACTGTGTGTGCCAGAGGCTGGGAGTGAGTCACATCATCACAGAGCCCAAAGGTGAGGGAGCCCCAGGGGCAGCATCTTGCACCAAGTGGAAGGGAAGCAGATGATTATCAAGGCATAAGTAGAGAGCAGCTGCCTCTGCAGCTTTGTGTAAGGGCTGAGCTCGTTCTGGGAGAGCTGTGTGTAGATTTTGGTTTATGTCCTGAGGTTTGTGCTGTTGATGACATTGATTTGGACATGGGACTGTTGGAGGAAGTCCAGGGGAATCCACAAAGCTAATCAGGGGACTGGAGCACATTCCCTGTGAGGACAGGCTGAGGGAGTTAGGGCTGTTGAGCTTGGAGAAGAGAAGATTGTGTGGAGACATCACAGC